AAACGGGCTAAAAAATTTTTCATAACCCCACTTTTGATCGTAGAATCCAAAAATATGAAAAAACATGTATGTTAATTTCGACCATTCCACTACAATTCTCGATGGGCTCGTGAAGCCTCTCTTAAGAGGTCATACGTTTTTTAAAATAACATGACAAAATAAACGAATACAATACAACGAATTTTAATAAAATACATCAACAAAGGATGAGTTATGTTAATACTCAATGAGAATATGAGTGCCTCTCTTTGACTGTATTAATTTCAATCTTGACACGGTTTAAAATGGGGAACAAACGTTAAAGCAAAATGGCAAAGTCTCTTCTTCTGCAACCAATTTCAATTTTTCATGCGTTTTTCTGATCTCAAGTTGTTAAACGTGTACTTTTAGCATTGAGTGCTGCTTTTGTATGAGCAATTGTTGCTATGTCTGCTACTGTCGTATTCATTACCGTCGATGTTATTCGTTGTACAATAGTCCGTGCAAATAATCGTTGTGTGATAAGATTGAGTAATGTAAAAAATTCTTTACGATATAATCGATTTGTTAACGTATAAACATAGAAACTTGTTGAATAACTCAAAAACAATGGAAAACGGGTAATGTTTGTTGTAAATGCGACAACATTATTCGAATCGACTAAAGTCGTCCAAACTAATGTTGTATTATAAGGCAGAACGAGTATAATGTACGTTATCACTTGAAACAACAACATTCGCAGAAGCTGTCCGTCGGTTTGACGTGTTGATAATCGATTCGTCATAATCACTGGCATTATACGATGATGTTGCCTTTTGATATTGACCAGAGTTAGAATGCCAAATAGAATTAATAGAAATAGTGAAAGACAATAGATGATTAGAGTATAGTAACCAAAAAAATGTGTATAAATACCAGAGTTTGGTTTGCACAGAACAGTAGTGGCAGATATTCTTTCAATTTGAAAACATATTAGAATATGAAGAAACAGTAGTAAGAATAGAAGGACTGTTGACGGTACAACATAATAAGCAACTTTGCGTGTACTCCATCGACGGCATTTAGCTTGTTTTGAACTTGAACAATAGCGATCAATCGTTGCCAAAACATTCATATACGGTGATAAATGAAATGTCACATAGACAATATAATAGCGAAATCTACAATAACCAAGTGATTCATTTGATAGATCAATCGCCCAACCATCAGCTAGTAAACGATTGAGAAGAGAAAAGAAGATAATAATTAAATTGACTATGGATGATGCCATAAAATAAACTGAACATGATGCTGAACGTAGAGAGCGACAAGAGAAGATGTATAAATTAATAAAATTACCCATCACACCAATAAAAAAAATGATCGTGTATATATAACGACTCATTACTTGATAGATATAATTCAACGGGTCGTTGATATATAACGATGAATTATTCATGTGAGTACAATCTAAAAAGCCAGATGTTTGATTTTTAACAACAAATTTATGATGAACAAAAACTTACCAAATATTGTAAAGTCGCACATTTATTAATTTAATCTGTTTTAATCTGTAAGTTAAGGCACCGATACTCTTTCATTGGTATGATACATGAGAATAAGATGATGATATTTTCTTCCTGTGTTTTTTCTTTCTGATGTACGAAATATTATAAAAATTCCGTTTTTCTTTTGCACGAAGATCCATTTTATCATTATCTGCAATAAATTCATAATTATTTACTTATAAAATGGCGTGACTTACTAACTAATGCATTCAAAGGTAATTATAACTGATTTAAATACATTTACCTTTCTGTTAACTTATTTTAATGTACATGCGACTTGATATTATTCCATTATAGTGCCTAAAAGATATTTTCCTAGATATTAGTATAATTCCCTTTGCCTAGAATGTGAACGAGAAGACACGGAAGAAATATTACCTCCGAAAAAGGATGTAACATCGATCCGAAAATGTGACGTCAAAATGAAGGGATTTGTCGCAGTTCGCCAATTCAACTTCGCCAGCGTTCGCCAATAGACGGCGAATGTCTATGAGGCATTCGCCACAAGACATTTACCAATCGTCAATATGGTGGATGTCTATTTTATATTTTTATTGTATTTTTTGCAGTTACAGGATGAGCACTCCAATGATACTGACGACAGGTACTGGTGAATGTCGCCGAGACATTCGTCATAACTGGCGACTGTCGTGTGGATATTCGCCAGTCATCAATATGGCGCATGTCTACTGGCGCAAGTTGAATTGGCGAAACGCGACTTTGCCAAATAAAGTGTATGTGAGAGAGAGAGATCGATAAATCAATAACAACAAAAATATGGCAAATGTAACAATAATAACAAGTAAAAACAGGTTTTTATTTGTTCCTATTTTATTCAAAAAAAAAATTTAATTGAAATTGATTCTATATGCTAAAACCATATTCTTGATTTCCCCTTTCGAATAATAAGTCGTAATTCAACTTAAGCATCAAAGCACGGGATGCGACAGGAGTTGGTGTGCTATCCGTTGTGTATCAAATCTAACTTGTTGAATTTTGGTTGAGCAAAATTGAAATTTAAGTGGATTTGGATTTCAACTGCAACATATGTTCATGCGTCTAAAATAGACATTGTCAAAAACAATTCGTTTCAAACAACCCTAAAAGGAACTTTCTTTGACCCTGAGGATGTTTTTTCTACTAAGTTATTTCATGTTATAAGTTTGCATCGTACTAACCCTCATTTCCTCCTCTTGATAGTTGGCTGGTTTCAAAACAACGTTTAATCAAGGAGCCTTCTTAAAGGTACCCATCCACTCTTTTTGGGCTTCCCGTAGAAATGCTGTGAAATATAAATAAAGGTCGCTAGAGATTCGTATTTTCAGAACTGATTGGAAACTAAATGGAGCACGTTTTCGTTTTTGCTTTAAGTCTCCAACTATTGCCGTTCACCAGTTTTTCAGATGACTCGATTTTTCAAACGTCATCTTATATGCGGTGCTGATGAAGCGAGTAGCAAATTTGTTGACCTGTAACACTTCGCGGTATGTAATAACTTACAATATGATCAAGCANCTTCAATTTATCGCAGCTTTCCCCCCATAAATTTTCAAATATCGCGTTCAAACTCAAGTCGTTTTGTAACCTATCAAATACTATCATTCGTGTATAGAATTACTAGAATTTTGTGAGAATTATATTGAGAGAGATTTATATTTTGCTAGAAACAACTCATTAAAGTGTTTTTCGAAGATACATTTTCTGTAGCGATCAATAAAGAAATTCGTTTCTTTGACTGCTGGTTATTTAATGATGAGTCATGCTAGTAACTGTGAGTCCTTTTATGATTGCTTCCAGTGCTTTATTACGACAGGTATGAAAAGAGTTTTGATGCGTATTAGTAGTATTCGAGCTACTCTATTTTCTACGACTTACAGAGTCCAAATTGAATCAGATCTGTATAGAAAAAAAAGGATCTCAAGTAGCGCATTTTTGTATAGATCGGTGTGAAAAAGAGGGATTTATGCAAACAAGCAACATGTCGTGCCACTCTTGCGTCCTATATTTTTATTTTTCAAACTTCATTTTCGTCCTACAGTCATGATAGATCTGGAGAAATAAATCCGGTCTACAAGCAGTAGACAATGAGGTTGAGTCATGAGACTGTCCACGTGGGACTAAGATGTTATTATAGAAAAAATTAAATAAGCGGAATGAAAATTATTTAATTCGTTTATGAAACAGTAAATTATAGTAAGAAAGTAGAATATAGGATACTGATCACTAAAGAATGTGATGAAATTGGAATAATCAGAATCTTATAGAAATCTTACTAGTTTCTTATATAAGATTCTTATCAACATCTTACGTATTTCCATCGACTGCTTTATTAGGAAATTCATAAACTTCTTATAAGAATCTTATAACAATAATGTACGAATTTTGTTGACTCTTACCAATTTCTTATGAATTCTTGTGACATTCTTATAAGATTCAGCAGAATTCTTGTTACTTTCGTGAAAGATCTTATATAAGAACTGAGTAAGATTCTTACATGCTTCGTAAATCTGATTCTTATATAAGAACCGATGACTAGGGGTTCGAAGCTGATGATGAATATGAGATTAGAAAAATTTGGGTTTTGCTGGGGAAAGCTGCGATAAATTGAAGGATAGTATTTTGAGGCTAAGTGAACGCCGCTATTGTGTTTTTGCATCGTCTAAAAGGATCCTCAATACCCAAGAAACGTCCAGCTACCGGCATTTCACGTCATGAATGAGTTAAGCACTAATTTTTGCTATTTTAGCCGAAAAATAGCGAAAAAATATCAAATAGCTTGTTGACACATCTATAGCATCACCGCTTTAGATGGATCCAGTGAATTGGAACCATAGACCTGGTAACTTTTTGCGCATGCGCTCTGTTCGAATATCCTGTTTAGAAGGTCAACCTTGCACGCAAATCAGGATTAACAACTGGGTCTAATGATGTGCGTTTCAACTTTCTAGCGTTAAGAAAAATAATCTTAAGAAAAGCTTGATCGGTATAAGCCAGGAATCAGTTCTGAAAAATGCGAAATTTTTAAAACAATGAGAAAAACTTCGAAACACGCATCATTAGACTCAGTTTTTGATGCTAATTCCTAATATTAAACTTTAAGGGCCGAAAATCCGTCGTTTTTGTGTGAAAAAAGATAAAAGACCCAGATCACTATTTACCGTTCAGTGAAGATGATATCTGCGTTAAAATGAACAAAATTTTGGTGAAACTCCGATGGTGGATTAGCATGTGCCAACAGTGTTACCGTCCAACCTACACCGTGATCTTGTTTATCTTGAGTATCATTAAAGAAATCAAAGATGATGTCAGCTTCACAAGTTTCACAAACGTTTTCAAATGTTAACGGTATGCGTTTAAGCCATTCGTCGAATGCATCGTCCAAAATTCATTCCTGTACATCATGACTCATATGACTATTCGAAATAAATGAGGAGATACGATATTTTAAATGAGATTTCTTCCATCTACTAAGAATGGAACGGGTAGTCTCGATTACATCAAGTTATTGATCTAACCAGACCTAAACAGATCTTTTATTTTAACAAATGAAGGAGACCGATGTCAAGCCATCTGACGAGATCCTTAAACAAGATCGAAATCGCGATCATGGCGGCTCATACTCACCTTCACCCTTACTCATATGAATAGACTATCTGCTGCTTATGATTTGAAATTCTTTGAATTTACGAATTTAAAGATTTTAGATTGCTTTATGCAGATCTACGGTACCACTCGATAAGATCTTTTGAATAAGATTGAAATCGCGCTTGTGGTAGTTCTTTCATACACCCCACCACCCTCACCCTCAAGACGAAACGCGTCGTGGTAGCTACAGATTCGTATACTCACCCTCAAGATTGATAGTTAATAGTTGTTATCTGTCGTTCAATTTTGAGAAATAGTCTCTGAAACTTTTTTCGGTGTTTATACCTTTTTTAAATAAGTAAAGCAAATGAACAAACACATCGATCGATCACTATACACGCCTATGAAGATTACAGATGAAGAATAGACTTTAATGCTGACGATATAAGTTCTTAGAAAATTTCATTCAAAATAAAAGTTGAAACTGATGTTTTTCGTTATTTCATCCATCAAGGAGCTCTTATTCTTTATCTTCGATTTGATTGTGTTTAATGCAAAGCGTTGTGAATGTCTATGTAAAATAATGAAAAACAACTTAGAAAAGATGTTCTTTTCTTTGTTTATCTAAAGAGAATGTGTTTAGTCTTTGCACTTTATTTTTCATCTTCATCTTTCACAATGGATTTATTTTAATGTTTCTATATATTCAATCAAAGTTAAAATAGTAAGAATGGTACCGATCAATAACATAGCAAGAAAGCTTTCTTAATTTCTTTGAGAAGTCTTTGTGATAGGCGCTGTTAATCTCGAATTGGTTTTTATTGTTGTTGGCGGTGGTTTGCAGATTTCTAAAAACTCGTTTAGATTTTTCTCAGCAGATGCATTTTTCTTGAAATATTCTTGTACAATGTCAATATAGTTCTCATTATTCATATTCACTTTACCCTCTAATTCTGTTGGTAAGCCACATTTGCCTGTTTCACATGACTGCAGTGAATCCCCATATCTTCTTAGACAATAAGCCCACATCAATTTCGGCATTTCTTTTTTCGGATAATTTTTGCAATACTGCACGCTGTAGAATTACTTGTGCTTTTTCACTAGTCAAGCGTTCTCTCGGTTGATTAATATCTCCAACAAAGCCCGGATGATAATGACAATTCCCATCACGTGCTTCTTTTGGTGTATAGCTTCGTAAACATTTGGAACATTTTCTTGATGTTTCTTCATCAATACGTTTGTCTTCCTCGGCTTGCTCTTTGTTTAATTGAGCTGTTGATTTTTTAAATTCAATATCATCAATCAATGTATTTTTTAACCATGGATCTTTGACAATCATAACAATCCAGTTTTCAATTTTAGTAACAATACCCTAAATAAAACAATTTCTTGAAGAAATCAAATCTTAACATTTATTTTCTCGTATTTACTTTCTCATTGCGTTCTGTTTCTTCAACAATACACGTCTTACATTTTTCTCGTATAAATTGATAGACACGTATATTTGAAATTGATTTGGATTTAGACATTTCGGAATCAGATTTATTTAACATAATTAATGAATCAATATCAAAGATAAGCATCGATCGATTGTATTCATTACATTCAAGAAATGTCGTAGTTAATAATTCAAAGATTTGATTTTCATCAAATACATTTTGTTTAATAAGAAAATTTAAATCAATCGTTTGTATTGTATCAATATTTCTTGTTGAACAACCATGAATAAAATGTGCCAATAAACCTGGTACAGATGTTTCAACTTTTTCTAAATCTTTTTCTAATGTTGGTTCATTTTTCACTTCAATCAAACATTTACGATCAGTATAATCAATTAATATTCGTCCTGTTGGAATTAATTTTTCAAATTCTAACGAATAACTGTCTTCATGATGTGTAGAATTGATTATAGTTGGATTTAGACGACATATTTCAGGTAATGTACTGATACCAAACCAAACATTAAATGCCCGGGATACACTATCAGCTAATTCTAATAGACGATGATCTGTTGTATTTGGATTTCCATCCATTTCAATAATTAAATTTGATCTCAATGCACTGATGGCAGCACCGCTAAAATTTGTGGTGATTTTAACTACTGAATCGAGACGTTTTGGTATAAATAGACGTGAATCTTTACAAACTAATGGTGTTAACATATTATTTCGTATGGTTGGTGATGGACGACCGTCAAATACTTTTGCTTGCATTCGTCGAAGAAATGCTTCATCCATCATATTTCGACAATTGGTAGCACCAAATACAATTAAGTTTGGAATATTTTTTACACCTTCAATATGTGAAAGTAATACACTAATGCCATCAACTTTTCCTTGTTGCGCATTATTATCACGTTTTGACACAAGGCCATCAATTTCATCGATGATCATAGCACCGATCAAAAATGGAATGGCATTAGCGCGATACATAATATCAACAAGAAGTTTTTCTGTTTCACCAACATATGGTCGATTAAGTTCACCGGCAGAGAATGGTTGACTAATCATGGTTATCTCGGCATAAATTGCTACTCGTTTAAGTAATTCAGATTTACCTGTCAAGTAAAATATAGCTTCACTTAGTAAAATAGTCTTGCAGAGAAACATCTAATAATTCTCTTGCTGAAATAAAGTGTTTAATTACCCGTTCCTAGTGGACCACATAGCAAGAGGCCACGTCCATATTTGACAATTAATTTTTTATGTTGATCATTTAATTTCAATTGCATCAATTTTTCTAAACTTTCGATCTGTTTCTTGTTATTATTGGTTTTTGCCACTGACGCAACATAACGTTCATTCTGTTTTACATGTTCTTTTTGAACTCTTTCTAAATCTTTAATTGCCTCATTTCTCGTTGTATAATAATCTTTTATCTGATTTGCGGCCATTAAACTTGCGTTCGACATTATCACTACTCGTTGAATCATAGTATTTGTACGCTTTTCTGTTGTCTCCAAATCTCTTTTTAAATTTTCTAATTGTGTTCGACATCGTTTCGTTTTTTGTTCTGATGTCGTTTGTTCCTGTCTCAATTGTCTAATTTCATCAGCCCATTGTGTTTGATTTTGTTTGTGCAATGGTTCATCTTCAACTTTATTTTTCAGACAAAATGTTCGAAGATAATTTTGAATATTAATTAAGATATTTCCATCATCATCGTACGTTTTTCGAACTTCACCGATCGCTAAGTCAACTGCTTCACGTGATAAATATGGAATAAGGTGAAGTTTTTTTATGGCATAATAAAAATAACCTCACACACAATGAATATCCCCTAACAATGTCGCGATTGATTCTTTATATGGATCGGAATTTTGCTTGAATGAAGCTATTGCATTATTTATTTGCATATAGTCTCGAATTAATTGTCTAACAACATAATTCTAGTCAATTTAACCCAATCATCTTTTGTTATACTACGTAGATGATCGATTGTATTGATATTTTCCACTGAAATAAAATAAAAAATGGGATCTCACCGTGAAACGAAGTCAAGATTTTAAAAATACGGTTACTTCTAAGACATTCAAACTATGTGTTTGCATCTTCTTCATTATATTTATTTTCTCGACATATAGCACGTAACACTCCAATTAATGTCGTTGTATCATAGTCAATTATATTCCCATTTACTTCTGTTGTCGATAGGATAGTATCAGTGCGTGCAGAACCAGGTTGAATTACAGTAATAATAACATTTGTATCATCTGTTGTTTTCCACACATTAGGAAATTCAACTTTATTTGGACATTCATACTCAATATCAGACAAATTCAATAGATAATAATGATTAAATGATCCGAGTGCATCATTTTTACGTATAAATAATGTTGGCCGGTAAATTCTACGCACCGTTTAATTGCTCATATCGGCGGGATCATTCAATATATGAGGTGTATACAGTTGCAAAACCGATAGTTCTTGACTATCAACTTTCATTTCCTTCTTTGGACATGTAAGTTCTTCTTTGATGAATTTATTAATTGCAGGATGATTATATTTTACCTTCAGATGAAGAATGATTTCCTTGATACCAGTACGAAAAATTGTTTTTTCTGCCTTTGCTGCGGAAGAAGACATGTTCATCGATTTGTTTGAGCAATTGAAAGCTGCCGCTGCAGACTTGGATAACGGCGGTGCATATAATTTATATAATTCATCATTGTCATCATCAAACATATGTTGCATACTATTGATCTAAAAAAAGCATTAGTAAATTCGAATAAAAATATAAAGATTTTCACGAAACGTAGAAGTTTATTTTATATATGCAACTGGCTACAGTTGTTAGAAAAAAAAGCAAGTTGGTGACACTTCATCGTGTATATTTAAAACGGGAAAATTTTTTCACTGTCTTTGATGGTGTCGTTTATATTGCTGTATTGGATCCGATGGTCTTATATCCAAACGCTTGTAACGTTCTTCTAATCGATTCCATACTTCCGATCGATTTTGACGATCATACTTAATAAGATCATTCGTTTTTTGTTGAATTTCAGAATAAATATCATACGAATTCGTAGTAATTTTTCGTAATGTTTCTTCATATTATTCAAGTTTACGGAAGGTTGTCTTACGTACATCTTCATGATTTCGTATTTTATCAATCGATTCTTTTTGTTTTGATTTCAATTGATTAACTATTTTTTCTTTGTTTAAGATTGCATCATTGTTTTGTTTTAAGTTCGACGTAACTTGTTTGATCTCGTTTTTAGCGTCCTCCATACGTTTTCTTGTATCTTTCTGTTGGGAAACCAAATTGAAAATTTTATTTGTCATTTCATTAATTTGGTTTTCTTTCCGAGATAATTGCTGAGTTTTATGATCGAATTTTCCTTGCAAAATTTATATTTCATTGTATAGTTTTCTATCTTGTGCTTCTAAGAAGACTAGTTTTGCTGTAAGATTTTTAACTTTCGTAGTTTGTTGTTGAACTATTAAGTGTTTTTCCTTCCGTAATGCTTCTTGTCTATTTAATTCTTTTCGATGATTTTATTTCTCCTGTTCACAGGTATTTTTTTCTTCTTGTAAATCATGAATATTGTCTGTAATTCGACTTAATTCAGCGTTGTTCGATACATACTGTTGATTTTTGGATTCTAATATATCCCGTTTAGCAGCAATTTCTTCTGTTAATTCTTGGACATTTTCCCTACTAGCTTCAAGTAAATTTTCTTCATTGGCTATCACTCGCAATTTGGCTTTCTCAATATTTTCTTTCTCGCCAATCGATTGTTTCAATGATTGAATTTTTCGTTTTACGAGTACGACAGTGTTTTGTTTTTGTTGCAGTTCATTGGTTTTTCTGATCAAAGTCGTTCGATTAGCATTCATAGCTTCTTGATGTTTAGTCATTGTGCGTTGATGACGGATGCTGTTTGTCTCGATTGTTTGTATATTTGTCAATAAAACATGTTTTTGAGCTTTGTTTATAACTAAATCTTGTTTATGTCTTTCAAATTCACCGTTGATAGCAGTGATTTTTGCTTGAACATCTTGTATTTTACTTTGTGTATTTTTCACTTCAGTTTCTAATTTTCGACGTTCTCCTATTGTGTCTCGAAGTCGAGTAGTTAAGCTATCCAATGTACTTTTTTCCGTGCTGCATCATCGGTTTTTGAAGTCACTACTCTTTCTTGATTAGCACGTTCTGCTGTTTTTTGAGATAATCTATCAGCCAAATCCAAAGTTTTATTTTTCACTGTTGCATGTCTTTGTTCCGAGTCTGAATAAGTTTGCTTTTTTTTTCTAATTTTTGTTGTGCTTGCTCTAGATCATATTTTGCTTGATTAACAACTTCTTGTTGTTCTCTTTTACTTATTCCAATGATCCAAAATAGACATTCGAATATAAAACAATTACGTGAACGTTCTTCTTCTCGCTTCACTTTTTCTTCAGCCATACGGACTTGTTCTTCGGCGATATTCCGTTCATGTTAGCTAATTCGCGCTCTTGTTGTTTTAATTGAGTTAATAATTGTTCAGCTTGTTGTAATTCTTTCGCCGATTCCTCTTTACGTTGATGTAAACTTTCACATTCATCATTTTTCTTCGCTAAGTCATTTTCGAGCTCTTGACATGTGCCTCTTAAGTATTCAAGTTGTGCATTTTGTAAACGGTGTTGATCTTCGCAATTGCTTATTTTTAATTGAATGTTTTTTAGTGAATCTTCAACAGCGGTTAATTTTAATTTAACATTATACAATTCGTTTAGATAATCAACTCGTTGATCATCTAATTGTTGCCAGATTCTTGCTAATTGTTGTTTTTCTGTTTCTAATCCTTGTTTTTGATTTTCTAATTCTGTCACAAGTTGTTCATTTTGCGTCAAATTCTCTCGTTCAACATCCAATTCGCGGGTTCTACTTTGTATTTCTTCTCTTAAATAAACGAAAAGAATTATCTAACAATTTCGACTATTTTAAGTTACCTCAAAGTATTCAGTTGTTGACTGATGTGCTCGATATTTTCTCTATACTTTTCTATATTAGTCTGCAAACGAATTAAATCAGCTTCTTTTTCCTGCATAGGTATGCACTGTTATCGGTATACCAAATACCGAAAATACCGAACTTCGGTATATACCGATACTGAAAATACCGAACTCCGGTATATACGGATACCGAAAATACCGACTTTTTTTAACTTGGAATTTTTGGGATTTTTTCATTTAAAATGAGGTATTTTAGCATCCTGAACAAGCAGAACGTATAAACAACACTCAGCTGTGTATTTTGAGCATGTGCAGATAGAAAAAAAAGAAAAACTTTGGCTTTAGAAAGCAAACAAAGCTCTTGTTTTTCGTCCCTGATTCATTCTGGGTGTCCAGGACGCTAAAACACCTCATTTCAAATGAAAAAATCCAAAAAATTTCAAGTGAAAAAAGTCGGTATTTTCATTATCGGTATATACCGAAGTTCGGTATTTTCGGTATCGGTATTCCAGTATGAATACCGATACCGATGCATATCTATTCCGGCAGTACATTGGCCAATTGTGCAATGATGATTTCTAACTCCGTTTTTTGTTTTCTTAAATCATTATGAGTTAACATTAACTGCTGTTGTTTATTGTTTAAACGTTCAGGATCTCGATTAATACGTCGAATTTCATTTTCTTTTTCTCTGATCTGTGCATTGAGTTCTTCTATTTGAGTTTCAATTCTTGCCAATTCAGCTTGTTCTCGATTTAAATTTTCTTGAATTTCTTGGATTTCTTCTTGCGTTCGTCTGATTAATTCTTGTAAACCATTTAAGGATAATTCTAATTTATTTCGTTTATTTAATTCTTCTTTGAATCTCATTTCATGAATTTGTCGTTCTAATTTTTCCTTGTCTGCTATCATTTGTTGTTGTTTTTCATTGTTTTGTCGAAGTTCATTTTCAAGCGTTTTAGCTTTTAAATCGTGTTGATATAATTCATTTTGTTCATATTCAAGACCATTGACTAAGTTGACATGTTGTCTTCGTAATTGTAGTTGTTTACTTTCTAACTCTCGGAGATTTTGTACTTCATTTTGCATTTGTTTCATTAATTCATCATGATACTGTAAATTTGTATCAACCTGTTTCATCTGATTGTCTCTTGTCTGATGCGCCTCAATTCTTTCTCCTGTGACCTGTGCCACGTTGACAGAAATATAATTATTTGCTTCAACTTCTTTTTACTGAATGGCATCAAGATCCGTTCTGATATTAGACGGCAAGTTCTTTTCTATATCAAAGGGAACATAGCTTGCACTTGTGTTCTGCTTTGAAGTCATACGAGTTCTATTGAAAAGTTCTGATCTACTAAACAAAAAAATTTTTATGGAATCACTTATATTTTTCGAAGAAAAAAAGTGATTGTCAGTTTCTGATCGCAGTTTTTGCGGCTCCACCCCACTCTCCTGTGGGCCTTGGCACAGTCAGATCGAAGGTTAAAGGTCAATGGTTATCCAGTATGTTTCCGTCATAACTTGAGCATAGCCATTTGGTAGGCTTCCGAGTAACGGGAAACGGCACCTCTGTTATAATAGCGCTTAGAGCATTCTAGAATATTCTGGAACTTTCTAGACTATCCTAAAGATTTCTACTGACAATTCTATGGTATTTTCTATTAGCATAGTGACGTTACAGAACATACGTCAGTTCCACATTTTAGACCCAAAGGAACTGCCATGACAAGTTTTTTTCAGGATCGTTTGCAGTCTATCAAATTCCTGCAACTTTGATAAGTCTTTGGTGAAAAAGTGCAGTAGAGGAATGAGTAAGTTCGTTCTCATGTATATAAATCTATGTTTCCTACAGACTTTGACAATCTTGTCGTTAGCAACTCTTCTTGAACCAAGTCCCTTTTTTCATCATGATTCGAGTTATTATTTATAGTTAGTATCTTTTGTTCGGATTCATTATTTCAGTCATGATTTATTTTTTATGTTCAACTGTTCTAAGTCTTAAGTTTAACTGCTCATTATAGTTATGTCAGGATTGACGAAAAATTAGAGTTGCTATTAGTTGGAGCTGATGACCAACTTTTATCCTGTCATCTAAAACTGATGTTCACCTCGTTTTCGTATGAGAAAGAGCCATTGAAGTGTTTGTTTTATACTTTCTGAGGCTAAGTACAAGAGTCCAGTGATTTAGAGATGAAACCAGGACGGTTTATTTTATTTATTTTCTTGTTATTGACATATAAACTTATTGAAGCATAGTTCTATTGAAGCATTTATGGATGCTGATAGTTTTTCTGAAACTGAACAAGGCATGGAAAATCTCAATCGAGTACAACGAGAATTAACAGGTTATTGTACATCACAATCTGTTATTGAAAAAAGTGAAGACCTAGGAGACAGTAAATCGTATAGTCAGTGAAATTTTGAAAAAAATGATTTTACCGATGTTAACAGTTATTCTAGCAACCCACGCAAAGATCTTTTAGCTAAATTAAAGATGGTTGTCTCACATGGTAGTGCTGGATTTATTCAAGCTTATAATTCGATGTTAGGAAAAGTTAGACAAAGCTTTAGTTTAGCCATAAACGAAGTGCATACTGCACCTTTGCATGAACGTTATGTGAAAATACGTTCATTAAATTATGCCTTATATTTTTTACCTGAAGATTTGCAAACACAATTCAAATTACAAATTGATGACTTGACTAAATTAATTGCCGACGAAGACGAAGCACATCGACAGAATCTAGAAGCATTATTTACTAATGTAGACGAAGATGCACATGCGATCAAAGAAGTCGGGATGCTAGCTGAGCGATTCAAAAAGCAAAATCTGTCTAAACATTTTGAAACATTGCATGAACAAAGTTTAGAGAAACTACGCGTATATAAAACAAATGTGCAGAGTTCATTAGATAAACAAGATATACAGTCCGCGGTTCATGCCGCGAAGAAAATAGTTGAATATAAAGAATCCGTCGGTGCGCATATTCCAGAAGTAACCAACATTTATAACAGTATTTGTATTCTAATCATGAAAGGATTTTTAAGTTGCTGTGAAATACTAGCTAATATATCGACGACTGAGCAAACTCAGTCAGTCGAAAAAGAGTTTAATGATATCCTCGTTTATCTAAGATTTTCTGATACGTTAGATAATAAAGCCGAAGAATTCTTTCCCTAAAATGAAGTGCAAAGTGCCAGAGAAAATATTTATACTACATATTTTTCTATGGTTAAGTTTTTCTAGTATTTTCGTTCTTCCCTGTTTCAACTAGTATGTATATTCATCTCTCTCCTAAATTCACAGGCCGAAAACCTGTTTGTTCTTCTGGCCACCAACCACTAGTTGTCACGAATTAAATTCTTCTTCGATTCGGTTTCCACAATCATTTGCGTCTATTAATAGTGGATCTCGACAGGAACTGGGTACATACGTGGGCGCAATGGTGGCGTCAGGAATTTGACGATTTTGTGGCTGGTAAGTTTAACAATAGAAGCCGTTCATGAACCACGTGAGTTCTTCACTATCCGTTTCCTCCATTTGTTTCTAGCCGTTGGTGTGGCTGGTGGTAGCAGAGCCCTGCAGGTTGCCAATATTTGGCAACCTATAACCTAACCTATAAAAAATTTCACAACCTAATCCTAACCTAACCATTGAAAAAAAAAATAGAACAACCTATAACCTAACCTAGCCTATAACTTTTGCAACCTAATCCTAACCTAACCTATAGGTTAGGTTAGGTTAGGATCAACCTGCAGGGCTCTTGGTGGTAGTACGATCGATGGAAATGAGTTGGAGGAAGGGAATTTAGTCGTCTTCGTTCCACTTGACGACGTGGTGATGATCAGATTAGACGACTACTACGCCGTCCATTATTATTTTTAAACCATACGTATGTTTTTATTTTTTTTGTTGCTGTTAGTTGTTTTCGCTGTTATTTGATGTATGTTTTCCTTTTGTTTTATATTACATGGTTGCAAGTTTACGTTATCTTTGCTTGTTTGTTGAGAACGTTCGCGATACACTCTGACACATTCGCGTCTTGACTGGCATTAATCAAGTTGGAGAGAGAGAAAAGATAGATACGAACTATGTTCCCAGCTAAAATTTGATCTTTCCACTTTTCTTAAACCGTATGAAGAGAGTAAGACAAAAGAGCTTCCATCAATACCAATATATGTGTCACGTGAATGTATAAAGAAATAACAAAAAATACATAAATGTAGATAAATATTCGCATCTTACAAAATATCTACGAAGAAATTTGAAACGGAAAATAGTACGGTCTCAAACGTTCGACATGTACCGCTTCAATTATGCAGTTATCTGATAAGGGTATTATTTGATAATCTACTGGCGTAATTTTCTTAGTAATCTGGAATGGACCGACCCAACGTAGATCTAGATTAGGAGCTTTCCACTTGCATAAAGCACTACCGACTGTAGTAGCCATCATCACGAGGTCGCCTACTTTAAAATGTACATCTTTGCGATGTTGATTATAGTTTGAACGTTGGTTTTGTTGTGCGATCTCAAGATTCTGACGTACGAAGTCGAAAGTGGGCAGAAGGTTACTCCTAGGTCGATCGCGATAATTTCGGACTTCGCGATTGGCTACATGTCCATCACTCGTTCGGTTGTTTAAGCCGAATAACACGTCGAGTGGTAATCGAGGCTCGCGACCGAACATTAGAAAAGCCGAAGATTCTCCAGTACCGTCATTTATCGCTGTTCGCATAGCAAAAGCTAACTGTGAAAGTTTTATATCCCAATTACTCCGATCTTTATCTGCGTACCCCGCTATCACCGTTTTTAACGTATTATTAATTCGCTCTGATAGATTCGTTTGCGGATGATAGAGAGCCGTTCGGCGGTGTTCTATTTGAAGAAGACATAAGGCTTCTTCAAATATTTCTGAAACAAATTGTGATCCATTATCTGAGATGATCTTAACTCGGCATCCAAAACGGCAAATAACTTCATCATAAAGTATTTGTACGATACTGATTGAACGCGTATTTTGCAATGGAAATAGTTCCACCGATTTTGTGAAATAGTTTACGACTACTAAAATGTATTCATTTCCTCTTTTTGTTCGAGGTAATGGACCAGTGATATTTATACCAATAGCAAACCGTGCAAAAGTACGTTTTAATTCATAATTGAATTCATAAATCTTGTCTTAAAACCATAGAAACATCGCTTGTTCGATTCATATTTATGAATATCTGCAAATCAGAAAAAGACTTTCGGCTCGAAATGTAGAACTCAAGACAATGTATTTCCTTCACCTTCTTAACTTCTGTCGAATATTTCAATTTTTGAAGTATGTTACTGCTAAAACAGAATATGTGTATGTTAGGAGACAACGATATATGTAATACGAAGTTTTTCATTGTATATATTTGAACGTTTTTTTGTTACTTTGTATTTTATTTTGGTCTTTTCTACTATCAGAGCAACAATTAATTATTTCTGCAGGCAGTAAGGCTTTTTACTTTAGCAACCACATTTGGAACAAGAAACTGTTTCATATTACAACTTGGAGATACAACAGCTATGATAAAGGTTAAAGCACTAGTAATTTTACCAGAAGAGAGCCACGTATAAGTACACTTGATTAAGAGTAACGGCAAACAGAATAACAGTAAAATCACAGTTCGCACTGTAAGAAAAGAGACACCACTTGAGCCAAAAGATCGTCGAGAAAGGATTTACTGCTCAATGTTTGAAGTGGTAACTTTGTTCAAAAAAATAATGTCATTGGCACATTCAGGCGACAACCCTGAACGTCAATCACTCATGATATTTCTGTTCGAATCACTTATTTGACATTTTGCCACCCTGTGGTCCACCGGTATTCATAGCAGTTCACGACGTTTGTTTGTTGTACATTGCATTACGCATAACTATCTTTTATTCTGTATAAATCAAAACATAACGTGCTGTATGCAACCAGAAAAGTCAGAAAAATCACGATTCTTTGTGCGTAAAAATAAATTGTCTTTGCGAAGAAACATAAAAGCATATGCAAAATTATCATCCATCGTTTGATAGAAAAAGCACTGATACGTCATATAAAAAATTATGGCCTTTTTGAAAAAGGCCATATTTCGGCAACGGTGTGACCGACTTCGATGAGACTTTTATTTCAGGTAGATAGCCTTCTGTTGTGTCTCAGAAAACGATTTTAGCGTCCCGATCGATCGCGTTGCGTAGGGAGCATACTAAAACACGGAACTTTTCCGACCGACCGACCTTTTTTTACATGAACATAACCAATCAAAAACGTCCGTAAAGGTCGGAATTTCCGTGTTTTAGTATGCACCTTGCGTAGAAATGGATTTTTCATTGAAACGAGAGTGGAACTTGAAATTCGATAGCGCATCCCAGGAGGCCGATGGGCAGCTATCCTGCCAAGGTTCTTCCACTCTCACTAAGGATTATTTAACCTCAAAATATAGACTCAAAATCGATTGGGCGTTGAACTGGTTTCCAGTCGTCAGAGTAGTAGGACCACATCTTTTATAAATAACAAATTCAACACAGTACTTTACTATATTCCAGGAAAATGCTTATCCATAGAGCAGAGCACACAGATGTGCCGTCCTGTAATATTTATTCATGTCTCTCCAAATGTGCCCGATTCATGTATACATTTTTAGTGGAATTTGTAAGGACAGATTTTTATATGATTAACCGACATTTGAGCGAACGACACTGAACGACCACAACAATTGAGCAAAGCGCATCACTTATAGCTCCTCATCTTCGGCCTCTACATATGTCCACATAATTCAGTTCATAATCGGACAAAGAAATTGTCATCATCATTGTTATTAATTGGTATTGAAGTGAACAATCGTTCTTGGTCGGAAAAACGTAATATTGAAAGTGTCCGGGTCGCTCAGACGTCGGTTGACGCTTTTTATATTGTGCACTAAATGATTACATTAAAAGTATTAACGGAATAATCAAGGCCTTACCACAAATGAAACTGTCAGCTATAGAGATTTAAGTTGACGTATACATATTGTTAAACGTTAGGCCTAAAATGACCCTGTCGCTGGCCTATTTACTATGGATCAATAAGGTTATAAAACATCTTCGCACAATTCACCATTCTATATATACTCTTTAGTAGATAATCAGATAAGGTATCCAGATTAATTACATCACTTCCGTTATGTTACAGATACTTTTGCCAATTTGCGTATTTAGTTTTGTTGGGATATTTTCGCATGTTGCAAAGACGTAACGGCTGTCCATTCTATTTTTCTCTCTTCTTTATTATTTTAATAAGTCATTTTAAATGCGTATTCTTCTCTATATATATAGTGTATTATATAGTGTGTAATGTATTCTTCTATATATAAAATACGACGTAAATTCAGTAGGTCATGTTCTCTAGAAGAACATTTAGAAAATCATTCTTCACACAGACTACATACAGATAAGACGTACTACTTCTTCTTGTCCTCTCCTCTTTCGTTGTACTTACGTATAGTTATACATATATTTACTATGTATTGATTTGTTCGTTATTTTTCTATCATGTTTTTCTTTGTTTCTACACGTGCTCGAAAAACAAAAAAAAATTTTGGTCTATTAAATCGATTGATTATGGCCAAAGGCCCAACTAGGCCTGCCAGTAGTTATCCAATTCATCTTGGGTATCCACCTTTAGTGCAATCTCAGTATCCACAACAGTTAGTGTCATCTCTATACAACAAGGCTTTCTCCACTTTAAATGAAGGTAATGACTCACCGTTTGTTCATTCCTCGTATCCCCAGCAACAACAACATTTTCAAGCACTTTATCATCACCAGCAACAACAATATGTTAATGCTAATTACCCTAATTTTAATACGAATGTATTTCAACCACCTCCTTCTCAATTTTTAAGACAAAATGCAACAATTGGAGGTACAAATGGATCTTCGTCAGCACCTCTTCTTACATCTCAAGTGCGTCGCCCACATTCACCGGAGGAACAAAACGAATATAATGATTTTGTAAATGATCCATCAATGCGTACTGTACTAACACCACGTAGAAAAGTACTACGGCGTAATTTGTCGTTATCAACTGCTACTATCGATCATCTGCCATCGCATATTTCGACTGCATCTTCATTGGTAAATAATCAACAAAAATCTATTATTACATCAGAATCTGAACGTTTTGCTCAGAGTCGTTATCCTTTTCCACCTTTTTCAATACACTTTGACACGACAGAAGTTGGTGATAAACAAGTAGTGGAGGACTTAGTAAAATATATTAAAAATAATCGCAAAATTGATCTTGATATTGCTGGGTGTCGGCTATCAACAAATAATTGTCAGCATGATGAATGTAATGTGTTGGTATTTGTTAAAACAAGTGATTCCTTTGCTGTATTGTATGATGACGGGGTTTGGCCGGATCAATTATGCGGACGTAATATTACAGTGTTAGCTAAACCATCTATTCCACCGCAATTATGTGTTATATTAATTAATGTGCCTTATAAATTAGATATTAATATATTTGAACAAGACATAAAACGGATTATCCAGAAGTGAAAACTGCGGTACGATTAAAAAATAAAGATCAGTTTGATACAAAGTTAGTGAAGGTTGTATTTAAATCAGCAAAAACACGAGATGATGTACTTCGACGTGGTATTATGGTAATTAATTACCTACAATATGATTGTCAAGAATATCTAGGTCAAGCAGGTTTTGATTTGTTCCAATTGCTGTGGCATTGGGCATTTTAAAAAACAGTGCAAACAAATTGAAACAACTTGTAAAGTATGTGGAGAAAAATTCTCGGACATAAAACAGCAGCATTGCTCTGCTATTAATAAATGTATTCATTGTGGAGGAGAGCACCGGTCTAATGATCCAAGATGTAAAATAGTAAAAGAATATCGTTCAGATTTAACGAAAAAATTATTACAACATAGTGAAAATGTACATAATGGTCGGTTTTCACTATCTGCTTCTCAATTCCCAAGTTTAGGTGCTGCTCAACGTCTGTTGTCTCTGAGAGAGTCAACGTTGAACATTGCTAAAAATATTTTCTCAAAGTCTGATTTCGCGTTGTTTAAGAGTCTTTTTAGAGGAATGGGAAAGTTCGCCTACATTGTCTATGTGCTTTTCTAAATGGAGAAATCTTGTCCGTTCTGATATACCTTCCATTTTCTTTTCGCTACATTGTCTGTCATTTAACGTACGCGGCTTGGATAAAAGATGGAACGAAGTACTTTTGCTTGTTAATTTATTTAAAGTTGATATAGTTTCACTTTGTGAAGTAGGTGCTGTAGATCTTTCTTTTATAACACAAATTTTTAGCAGTTATAAGTTGTTTTACCAAATCGATGAGAATAGCCATGGCGGGGTGTTGTTGTTAGTTAGGAATGATTTAGTTACGCAAAGAGTCGATATTGCTCTACCTAATGTGTGTGCGGTCGATATTGAATGCCGGTGTTCTCAGTTTGAAGAAAAAATTCGAATCATCAGTGTGTATGCACCGGACAGTAAAACGTGGAGCTGGTCGGACTTGTCTATTCTTTTAACTGCCTGTTGTGTTTTTATTGTAGATTGGAACGTGGATATCGAGCACGACGGAATGGATGCTGAGAAATTTCTTGATTGGGCTGATAGCATCTCTCTCTCACCTTGCCTTCCTGATTCTCCTACGTCACTTCGTTCAGACCGTACTATTGATTTTGCAGTGAGCGTAGGTGTTCCTATCTCTATTCAGGCTTACGAAGGAGGTACTAGTAGTGACCATAAACCAATTTTAAGCAGAGATGTCATAATACGGATACAGAATGTATCCACTCAATACAAACCTCTTACAGTAACAATACGGACTATATGTGCAAACTCGATACAGAATCTGTATTCTGTATCCGTATTCAGTCTGTATCCGTATTGACATATATCTATATGTATTTATCAATTCTGGGATTATGGGATTTTACTCTGTATTCTGTATCCGTATTGACATATATCTATATGTATTTATCAATTCTGGGATTATGGGATTTTACTCTGTATGCTGTATTCGTATTCAGTCTGTATCCGTATTGACATATATCTATATGTATTTATCAATCCTTGGGATTCTGGGATTTTACTCTGTATGCTGTATCCGTATTGACATATATCTATATGTATTTATCAATTCTTGGGATTCTGGGATTTTACTCTGTATTCTGTATCCGTATTGACATATATCTATATGTATTTATCAATTCTGGGATTATGGGATTTTACTCTGTATGCTGTATTCGTATTCAGTCTGTATCCGTATTGACATATATCTATATGTATTTATCAATCCTTGGGATTCTGGGATTTTACTCTGTATGCTGTATCCGTATTCAGTCTGTATCCGTATTGACATATATCTATATGTATTTATCAATCCTTGGGATTCTGGGATTTTACTCTGTATGCTGTATCCGTGAGGGGGTCGTGAGAGTGAGACACGAGACAACGTGTGATGACCGTGAACGATGCCGGTGGAAATTTTGGATACATGTCTGTTAATAATGGAGTTTCAGTTTTGGTGGTTGATTTGTTGTCTTTGGGCGGTCTGCTAAGGTTTTTTGTGAATTGGTGTTAATGGAATATAGGTCAGTCCTACATAGTTTTTAGAGTAGAGCAGTAAAGGCCTGAGATCGGTATGATAAATGTAGTACATGTACTTCGAACGCTGGAGGTGGACATAAGATTGAAGTGAACACGGAATTTTATATGATGTTCAGTTAATGAAATATATGATTGTATACTAACCCCAAAATAGACGGCCACCCTATATTAGAAGGCCACCCCCTGTATAAGGCCATGTCCGAGCAAAAATTCAAACGCCCTGTTAGAAGGCCGTGCACTAATTAATTAATATATCCCAAAATTATCGAAATATTCATAAATATTAATTAATAATTAAGGAAATATAACCGATTTTCTAATGTTTTTTTGCGAAATCCTTCCGTTTTTATCATAAATAGTACAGGTTTTACAAAAAATGGTAGCAGCAAAAAATACCTAAAAGACAATAATTAAAGTTATTTATTAATTATTAATTTTTTTAAGTGATTTTAATTAAAAACTGGCGAGAAATTGATCCCCAATAGAAGACCACCCAAAAAGTAGCGATGTACCAAGACACTGTATAAGGGCATGCCCTTTTATTCTGGGAGGAAGGGGGGTTAATTGAATG